ATGTTGAAATCCAACTGAGGTAAAACAGATAAAATATAACCAAACGTAGACGATTTACGGGGGAAAAACCGTCTTGTGTGAAAACAACGTCCGTGCGGAGAAAAATCGTACGAATAAAATCCGCACGGACGAAATCGTCCTGTGTGAAATGGGCCTATGACCCGTCAGTCATTACCAACTGATGCACCACGTACCTTAGGTGTGGTTATGGTGGCATGTGGTGCCCGAATCCGTAGTTAATAAATGTGATTAATTACAATAAAAAATGGATGTGGTCCTTTCAAAGCTCACTAGACACGACTATCGGCGATTTTGATCTCTCTACAACGTATTATTGAAATATAACAACTTAATATAATCGTAAGATCAAACTAGCAGATCAATGACTTAAACGATCCCAAACCTACTAAGTCTATGACTGTAAACAAAATAAATGAATCACATAATAACAGTAATACATTGCATGAGCCTTAGACGGCTAAACACACGGTTTGACTGTAAACAAAAAATAATGAATAAATGCGTTTACAATGGTTGAGATGATACTAGTGTTGTTGTAATTGATGTTCTTCTTCTTCATCTGTGGCAGGTTGGTAATAGAGCGAGCTTGACTACTGGACGTTTATATACGTTTCCGTTTCCCATACGAACCGTAACAGCACGTACCACATCATCATTTCCAGGATGAACAATCAAGACGCGACCTAATCTCCACTGCAGTGGCGGTACGTTGTCTTCCTTTATAATAACCAGATCATTCACAGCTAAGTTTCTTTGGGGTTTCAGCCATTTACTTCGTTTCTGAATTTGTGGCAAGTATTCCTTGCTCCATCTTTTCCAAAACCATTGCATTTGAGAACGAACAAGGGCAAACCGACGCAATCTGTTCTGAGGTATTGAGGTTAAGTCTGGTTCAGACGGCAGTAATATGGGACCGCCTATGAGAAAATGCCCAGGTGTAAGGGCTTCAAAGTCTGAAGGATCATCAGCTAATAGTGTTAATGGCCTTGAATTTAAAATGGCCTCAATGCGGCAGAGCAGTGTGGTGGTTTCTTCGAATGTCAGTATTGTCACATCGTTTGTCATCTAAATTAAGTAAATAAAGGATACAACGTTGAAGGTGCGCATGCGCAGTATGACTTATTATTTTTTCTATGGCAACTGGTGTTTGAAATATCAAAGTCGAATAGACAGAATTTTTTTAAGTCATTTTTACCTCTTAACATTGGCTCTAAAACCAATATGGACTGAATGACAACGAGCAAACCTTTTAACTTAATATTATTGAATTTTTCAACAATTATACTACGATTTTACAAATTCTACCCTTTTTTTGTCACTCATACGTAACATTTTTTTAGTCATTAAGAAGACGTCGCACTAGCATATGCTGTCTCTATCTTACACACGTTCGACATAGCAAATGTTCGTTCACCAGTTTAAAAAGTGTGCTTAGTGCTGTTAGTTTTGGTATTAGAGTAAATCGACCTATTATCAAACTCTAAGGTAAGAACATTATCTGTGACATTGGAGGTTCAGGAGAAAGATGAAATTAACAAGTGAGTCTTAACCTTACACTACACTTAGCGATATAAACATAGTTTCTAAATTTAAACGTGCTAATATAATATAATATAATGTATACATGTGTATGGTATAATGATTATAAAGGTGGATTGTATACGTTTATTTAGTGTGTTCAGTGTATGAATTCATATTTACCTACTACTTTTTAGGGCAGTTGTATACATTCACCAATACCTTTGTATTGTTTTTTTATCATATTTTACTATGTGGCTTGGTGCAAGAAGGGCCAGTGTCAAAATAATAAAATTACTTTGGTTTTGACATTGGCCAAAAATAAAGTTTAAAACAAGCACCTTTTTATGAAAACATTTCTACATTTTCTTCGCGTCGGTTCGTACCAATATCCGCAGCAGGTCTCCGAGGTGAGCAGCCTCTAGCCGCATAGAATCATGTAGGTAAGGGAAGTCGGCAAAACCGATCCGTAACTTCGGGATAAGGATTGGCTCTGAGGAGCGTGGCGTGTAGGGTTCGTGTCGTCGTAGAAGCGTAGGCGGTTTTGGCGACACCCCGGCCGTCGCTTGTGTGCCCGGTCTCCGGACCGGGAACCTCTAGGCGGCCGCGGGCCCGTCGCCGTCCGTGGAACCACCGAGCTTCGGTCGCTGGGTGTCGGTTCGCCGCCGCGCCGTCGGTCACGTAGCCGGATCCGACCGCCATGTAACGGTCAACTTAGAACTGGCACGGACCAGGGGAATCCGACTGTCTAATTAAAACAAAGCATCGCGATGGCCCGGGATGGGTGTTGACGCGATGTGATTTCTGCCCAGTGCTCTGAATGTCATCGTGAAGAAATTCAAGCAAGCGCTGGTAAACGACAGGAGTAACTATGACTCTTTTAACTGACTCAATTGGTTTACGTTCAATCGCATGAATTTGGCAACACAGGCGCGGACGGGAGTCGGGTAATAGCCTCCGTCTGGCCGCAACAACTGCGGGCCTCCTCGACCCGCGTTCCTTGAACTTCTTCCTTGTAATGACCTTCCTCTCACTCTGAAAAGTACTTCCATTGTCCTCCGTAGGCGGATAATGATGACGGTCGGCTCACCCCGACTGTCTGTCTAATTCTCATTCGGCTTTCGGGGTAAGTTATGATCTCTCCACGCGGTGGACGGTTGATTCCCGTCCCACGCAGGGTAAGACCATTCTGATATCTAGCCAAATGCCTCGTCATCTAATTAGTGACGCGCATGGATGGATTAACGAGATTCTCACTGTCCCTATCTATTCTAGCGAAACCACAGCCGGTCTAGTTGTGGTCTAGCAGCCGTAGCCATACGGAATAGAACGCGTCTCCAGGTTGTGGATCGGAGCAAAAACCCGGCACTTGTCCCCCGGGTAGTCCGGAAATACTGAATACCGGGCCGCGAACAGCTATGAGCAAATGACCCGTCGGTCTTAGATCTGTGAGTCCCCACAGTCGACTCGACGGTGCGTGCCTGGTCTACCGAGCCAGGTACGTGTGAGCCAATGGTCACGTTCCGTTGCTCATGGGTTACTGTGCGTGGCGCGTCCCAGCGTCAGCCTCCAGTTTACGCATCAAATGGATTTGAATTGATAAAACGATATTAAATGCATAATAATTTATGTATATTATCAATTATTTTTTACGTTCAAGTACAAGCCTCGTGGTCTCGTCAAATGCGCGCACATACCACTTATTTATGTACTTATTAAGTTATTTGCATTCATAACAATCCTACACGACTTTGGCACACGCGATTTACTGCAGGGCTATAATGCTATATCGTACTTTTTTGTTAAGTATTTTTTTTTTCTTCAAATGTATTTTAAGAGTCATAAAATGGGTCTTGATCCAGCATTGATTCCCGAAAAAAAACCCCGTTTTGAGAAAATTAAAAAGGACCATCATTTATTCTATAAAAACGCCACTGCGAAGACATTAAAAATAGTCGTCTCATTCAAATGCGCGCAAACACCGCTTAATTAATTCTTTTTTTTTTTAAATAGATATACAAGACATGTATAAGTCAATTTTACTGGCAAACATAGATGACTCTTGCACAGAAGCTTATGTGGACCCTATAATAAGTGCAAAGACCCACAAAATGGCATTACATATACAGAGTGAGTCGAACACTCGACCCATTCTCAAACGCATTACGTCCATGCACCAATCAATGTACGAGGCAGCTGTTTCAAAAGAATCAAAAGTAAAATTTGAAGTGTGCAACTACTTACCAGATCACGCACATTATAAATCTGTGATGGTGATTAGCAAGTGTTTTATTCATAAAAATACCGTTTTATATGAACTGGGCGGACATCATTTCCCAATCGCCAACGAACACATCATAGCTGGTACGTTACATTGTTTATTATATGTTTACATTTTCAAAGTACTTAATTATTTTTACTTTTCATTATAGGTGTTAATGATTTCTCTATAATTTATTCCGGAAAGTCTAGAAAAAAAGAAGTTCCCCACTTGCTGCTGGGGCCAATCGCTTATGTCAACCACAGCTGCTGTCAAAATTGTATTTTCCATCCACACGAAAATGGTAAAATATATATAAAAGCAGTTAACAATATCCACACAGGTGAAGAGATAACAGTGCAATATAGTTCAGAATATTTTGGCGATGCTAATTCAAAATGATTGTGCGTTGTGTGCAGTACTGTCTATGATCGTAAGAGTAGTCGTAATTAATATAATATACATATTATTGTGATTTATTTAATATCTATAACATTTTATTTTTTTATAGTGGTTGAAGAATTGATAATGATGGTCATTGATGATGACGATAATGTTTCTCTACTACCAAGCAGTAGTGATGATGATATTGAAGAATTTGATGTTCAAGGAAATGTTAATAATGGTGAGAATTATTTTCATTATTTTAATATTTTCACATAATTTAAATGTTATTTAATTTGTTTTTAATTTTTTGTTGATTTCTATTGGGTGAAGGTTCAAATGATGATCAGAAGGACGATGTAATGCTGTTCAAGTGCCAGGATGTAGTAATGTTTCTCTACTACCGAGCAGTAGTGATGATGATATTGAAGAATTTGATGTTCAAGGAAATGTTAATAATGGTGAGAAAATCTGGACATAATAGAAAGGACTGCCCTAATAAGTCCGAAAAACCCGTATACGCGCATTGCAAGGGTCATCATGCAACAATGGCTAAGGAGTGTTTGAAATGGGCTGCGACTGTCAGAGCCCTGCAACATAGAACAGATTACGGTCACCCAGATGAATCATAAGTCTCTGAGAATAGTACAACTCAATATGGCGAGGTCAAGGGCAGTATCCGACGAGCTGCTCCATCATTGCACCAAGGAAAACATAGACATTGCTCTGGTACAAGAGCCATACGCACTTAGGGGAGTGCTGCATGGTCTCGAATACAAAGCCACCCGCATAGTCAAAAGCAAGACAAATGAGTATCATGGCGTATGGGCTGCCATCGTGCTCTCATCAAATTTTAAAACCAAAATTTACTAAGATACGCGAAGTTGAAAAACCGAAACGAGCGACAGTCGTGAAACCACGGAAAACGCAGGCAGATACAATTACAAGAATAGCGAAACAAGTTCATGCAATAATAGTTGAACCGCAGCTAGCCATAATGTTGGGAATAATATTCCTGGCTCTTTATATTCATCATTACCACGCTGACGAATCTATTATCGCCAAAGCTGTTGTTAATTTAAAAGGCAACGCAGCGTCGCAACATTTGGGCGAATGGTTAGAAGCGAACGTTCCTAAATTCATCGGGATAGTTATGGCAGTTGTGGTATCAACGATGATATCAAAACAATACTGTGCATCTATTGCTGTCGCGTCAATATTATTGATAGTAATAATGCCGGGAACGGCGGTATCATTTTATGTAATGACATCTCTGTTCGGACTCCTGATGACTCGTCTGAAGACATCAGTTGATAGGTACATTATAGCGGTTATCGCGATTGTCGCTTATCTTTATTTTATTTCGGACATAACTGCAGATAAACATCTGCGCAAAAATTGTAATGTGACGTCAAACATCACAAATACAACGGCCTGAATGGTTTGGCCATAAATATTTACTCATAACTTAATTTCATTTCCAGTTCTTGTGGCTTAGCCACCAACACTTAAACAACCAAAAAAAAAAAAAAAAAACAGTTGTATTCAGACATTCTTTCGGACCAGTCGTTTACAGTTTTTGTTCGCTCCGTTATCTTTACTTTATAGCATGAATTGTTCAAAGTGCAACGTTGTGTTGGCTGATACCGACTGTGTTAAATGTTCAATTTGTTCTAAGCCATTCCATATTGCTTGTACGTCTATTTCTGGTTTAACCGGCAATAATCTTAAAACTCGAAATGATTTCCTCTTCAGTTTTTTTAGAATTTAAAATGTTTAATTTTAATATTGATGAGAGTGACTGTATATTATGCGCAGATATTAAAATCCCATTTATTTTATTCTGTGAAAAAAATTAAATTATAGGATTTCATCAAACACATTCTATAAAAAAGTATTTAAAAGCTAAATATGCGTTGGTTTTAATAATTTGTGGTATTAAATTGAATTGGAAACAGCCAATTGCCTATTTTTTTAGTTTCAAGTAGTTGTGAAGTAAATTACTTGTTTGAAATAATATTTTCAATAATTATCAAACTTCAAAATGTTTCATCAAATGTCAAAGTATTTATAACATATTATCAAGGTACAAATTTTGAGTTTCAGTCGAAAAGTTTATGTAACCCCAAGTAGGCCGTATAAACGAAGAGTAGACGAACAAAAAATTATGAATCTTTTGATTCTTCACATTTATTGAAATCGACTCGAAATATGTTTTTAAAACACTATTTTAAAGTTGATGATCCAACAGAAAGTTTCTGATTTTTACAAGAATGATTATAAGTCAAATTTGAGATTAGCTCATATATATCCTGGCCCATTTCAAAAAAATAAGTCAAATTAGCTGCACAGGTATTTAGTGAAAGTGTTGCTGCAGGAATGCACACTTACTTAGCACTCAAAATATTACCACTTGAAGCTCATGTTGTTATCAAGTTTTTAATTTTTCTAAGCAATCACCTGTATTATATAATAGGAATTTTTAATTTTTAATAACATTCTTTGTAAATTCGAAGTTGTAGGTTGCTCCAAAAATGCACAAAAAAACCGTAGTACTTAACCAATAACACGAATAGCGGAACACAATCTTGAATTGTATTTCAAAATTAAAGACCGGACTTATATTTCTCTTAATCATCAAATTTAAAAAATTTGCATATTTAAAAAAATGTTTCCGCTTTAAAACAATATTTAACATTGTTTTTTTTTTTTGTTGAATGGATCTATCCATTGTGTTTATAGGTTACTGGGTAATTAATGGGTCATGATGAAGCCGTTTAAGGAATTTGCTCTCCCTTTGCAGTTCTACAACTTATCAAACTTGAAATTTGAGCAGGGATTTTATCAAATAAAATGTATAATAGTATTTTTTTCTTTAAAAATAATATACCTATAAGTAATAACTAATAAAACTTCATAGATTCAAAATGCATTTATTTAAAAATGTTAAATGGTTATATTAAATTGGGTTTCAGTGTTAACGGTGTTGGGTGTGAGTAGGGTCACGGGAGAGAAATAATAATAAACTGAGCCCTCAGGTATTGTACAATGATAATATTATGCACAAAAGCTCAACAGTTGTAGACGACCGCGGACGCCAGCTACGCGGTTACCAAACTGACGATGATACGGACACCAAGCGCCACAGGTTCACACACCCCCCCCCCAGCCAATCTGTATTTGTAAATAATTTTATACTGTTGAAAACAAAATAACATTTGTAGTATATAAGAATAAAAAAAAATGTCTTGATTTAGACCTAGACTCGTTAAAATAAGATGGCTTATGTTGAGTTCCTGTATAATGTTTTTATCGCGTGCCTATATGTTGACGTGGGCTACGGCAGAGTGAAGTATCGGTCCAGGTCCAGGTACTGTGATGTTTATGGTGATACTCACAGTTAGAAACAAAAAAAAAACAATCTAACAACGCGATTGGTGTGTAGTGTAGTAATGTCCATGTGGGGACGTTTATTAACCCAAGAAAAAGTTACAGTTCGTGGCGGCGTGGTTAACGCCTATAGTATGTATATTAATGTAATATTAAAACAAAATAACAACAGAACAAAACAATGTGTTCTACAGCGTGGCGAGAGCCGTGATGAATACGCAATAAACGAGAACTGTAGTAGACAGTATTATGTACGTGGAACCAAAAATCGTTGGCGGTATGTTGACTATGAGATAGCTGGTGAGCGAGAGAGATTCCGCTGGCGGCCGGTACTCGTCTAGCGCGATTTGCCTTCCCGTCCCACCATGTGCCTTTTGGCATGGTGGGGGAGTCGACAGTATCGCGCCGCCGAAGCCCGTGGTGGCGACTACCGACAGCCAAATAGCCAATACACATACACACGATTGCCCGGGTATATTCTAGTTAGCCGGCTACATATAATTTTCGTTTATAAACTAAACTATAAATAGTTTTTAAGTTATGAAAAAATTACAATGTAACTTAATACATACTCAGAAAATTGTGTTTAATATTTAATTGTTTATACATATGTTTCTTATCGACGGTCCCGTATATTAATATACTATACGTATTATATAAATAATAAATATAATATAATATCAAAACCATTATTTTTTTAAATTTATTTGTATAATAATTTAATAATATTAAATTTTAACGTTTCAAATAGATACAACCAAAAATTGAAAGAAACGATTAGGAAGGGTTGCTAAAGAACGATAAAGAAAAAATAATAAATTGAATGAAGCTGCAAAAACCTGGTACAACATAACTTTTTTTATTAATAACAAAGCTAGAGACCATTTAGCAAACTTTAGGTTTCTGGTAGAAATTTTGTATACAGGATAAAAAAAAAAAAATAATAAACACCATTGTAAAACCACTAGCTTCCTCGTTCCGTCAGAATCTAATAACATGACAATATAATACAATATAATCATGTATTTTTACTCAATATTATCATCGCTGGTTATTTAGTCTTGAAGTCTTACTGGGTTCCTCCTAACTCGTTCAGATCTCCTCACATCTGTTGACACCTCGTTTTGTTCAGTTATTTTTTCAGCTTCGTCTGGAATGTCTTCAATCTCCTTTGACAATTCTTCACTTGTTGTCATCCTTCATTTACATGTCGTCCATGATTTTAACTGAGCTGTAGTTGGAAAGTGCCGTCTGCTATCCTCTGCAAGCTGAACTACTATACTCCGGCCCACGAGAGTCCATATGTCCAAACGCGTCCGTCTCTGCGCATCTGCATGTTGCCGAATAGTGGGAATGACATAATTGTGGGAGAAAATAGACGTCGCGTATTACTATATCGATGAGCGGTTTACGTATGGACTCTCGTGCGCCGGAGTATAGGTAGGTATCATTGGGTAAAACTTCTGTCACTTCCAAAGGCCCACAATACCGCAGATTCACCCGTTGACACCGGTATCCTGGCCATGACCACTACTTCACTCACAGTATACTGTGTTTGGTTTTGTCTATGGTTTTCATAAGTGGAATTCACGTTGTTTGGACCTGATCATTTCCCTTCTCGCTTCTTCCCAGAGCTCAGATGGACAGATCCACTCCTCTGTAGTAGTCGCCTCCAGTAGCCTCCCCCCACAGATCAATGATTGTGAATATTAGTGAGGAAAATGACTTTTAAGATAGTGATAGGGATCCAGAATACATTCCTAATAATGTAAGTTTAGATTTAAGTATTAGAATAGATATTTGATTTTGTAATTATAATATTATAATATTGTTAATATTGTATAGTATAAAACAACACGACGTTATAATATTATAAGGTATAATAATAATATTATATTTTATTTATACTAGGTAACCACATTTATACATTTTGTTTTGTAAAGTATTTCTCAATAACATTATAATAGTATGGCAATTTTCATTATTACTGTAAATTTAAGGATGAAGATTTTATATTAGCACAAAATGCTATTAGAATTGATTCTAATGATGTAGTAAATGTAGAGAGAGATGATGAATTAATTTCTAATTTTAAAGTAAGTTTAAATTTAAGTATTACATATTTTTAAGCTTAGTATTCATAAAGTAAAACAAAAATTAAGAGTACCTAAATAGTACCTAATCATTTTGTTATAAGTAACTCAATATTAAAAACCTTTGTAATAATAAATATTAGAACTGTTATAAAATTGTTTACCCAAAATTTGATTATAAAAAATATTTACTATACATTTGAACCTATCTATAATATTATTATTGTCTTAATTTTTTTAAATTCAATTGAAAATATTATAATATGTTAGGTATAGTTTTAAAAAGAAATGTCGACATTTTATAAGTTTTTTAGTTTTTGGTTTACAAATAAATTGTTAAAATTTCAATTTATAATATTATAAACTTATTTACTTATTAACTTTATTACTTTCTTTTAATTTTGGTAAAATTGTGCTATAATCATTATTTTATTAATATTGTCAATTTATACTAATACTATTAAGAACCCTGATGATCTGGGTAAAAATAATAAAAAAGGAAAACATAAAATTACTTCCAAAGAAAAACTTACAAGAGTACGTACTAAGAATACAACTGATTGGAAACACAATAAAGCAAAACAACTGTTGAACTTAGTGGAAGAGCATACAAACCGAGCAGGAAATTTGATTAATGCAAAAAAAAATGGGAGCACCTTGTAAATGTAGAAATAAATGTTTTAAAAGATTGATGAGGAAACACGTAAAAGAATATTTGACTAATATTGGAGTTTAGGAGACAATTATAGGCAATGGGACTTTGTTGCAAGATATGTAGTAATAAGTGATAAAAAAAGTTTCTACAAACAGCTCATCAACTTTACATACAGTTTTCGAGAAAATACTCTTTACCCACTCAAATTAATGGTATAGAATCAGTTTGTAAAGTTATTTTTTTGAAAACAATTCAGAAAAAATTGTGAATAATATGGGTAAAAAATTAGCAATATCTCCAATACTGATATCTGATCAAAGAGACACTCATAGTAATCGACCACATGCAATTCCTAGGGAAGTGAAAGATTGTATAAAGCAACATGTTTCTATGTTCCCAGTTGTTGATTCCCATTACACACGGCAGAATACACAAAAACACTTTCAATTTTCGAAAATATATCGCTTTTATCAGGAATTTGTCAAAGAAGAGTCAATTAGTGTAATGGCTCAGAATGCCACTCTGAGACAATACACTGATATTTTTAACAATTCATTCAATTTAAGTTTTTAAGCCTAAGAGAGATCTATGTGATGAATGTGAGAAATTTAGGCTAGCTAGCCATGAAGAAAAAGATTTACAAATAACTATTCATGCTGAACATTTAATAAATAAGGACATTGCAAGGGATAAAAATAAATATTGATAAAAACCGAACAATTAATGAACCTGAGTTATGTGTTGCCGTTTTTGATTTACAAAAAGCGCTTACTACCCCTCAAAGTGAAGCTAGTTCATTCTATTGTAAGCGGAAGTTTGCTGTAGATATATAATTTTACAGTATTTAATGTAGGCAAGATATTGGGTTATTGCTACGTCAAAACGAGTATTGGCCTATAAGTGCTTATTGTTGTGTATGTGTTATTTACTATTTTAATACCAATGAAAGTTTGAATAATTAATTATTGACCAACACATAATATGGCAATGAATTAGATTTACTTTAATTTATTAAGTATTTTTCACAACTGATGAAAATCATCTTTATACTTAATAATGTAGGTACTTCTCATCACATATTATGATAATAATAATGGTAACTGGTTAATTCAGCGAAATCCATTTCGGCGAATAGATATACCGGCAAACGGTTATATAGGCTAACGGATATATTGCCAAAACAGCAAAACCGGAGATTTTAGGGGCTAAAATGATTCTTAAATTTCAAAAATAAGAAGTGGGACTGAGATTATAGTAGGTGGTACATTAAAAAAATTAAAAAATTTAAATTCCATATTATATAATTCAATAATTTAGTCCATAATTACTTTAATAAAAGTAGATTTCCTAGAACCATATATGTATATAATTATTATTTTGTGAAAATTTAAAAGCCCATATTGTATATAATTCAATAATTTAGGCAATAATTACTTTAATAAAAACCTTTAATAACCTTGACTTTAGTTTTGTTGTGTATAATTTTGAAAGTTGAGCTATGACAGCATCATTCATATTTTGAGTAACTTCACCAATACTTTGATGAATAGAATTGAATTGAATGCATTTTTCAACATTTCAGTTGTACCCTCCAGTGCAATAACTTGCTAAATTTGGAGCATGACTGTTTGTTTATATTAAACGAAAAATTATTCCCCGAGAATCTATATTTATGTGAATCTGGCATTACAATCATCTTTTCGTAGACATCTGCAGTATATTTAAATTTAATTTACTTACGTAAATAACGTAACATTTTAAACGGCTATTAATATACAAATTGTATACTTTATATTTATCAATAACATAACATCATTTTAACTTATTTTTCTGTAATACGATTTATCTAAAATGTAGCAATAATCACTTTCATCCCTCAATGTTGGTTTCTACCTAATCGTTATTGTATTCATAGATTATAAAAATATAAAAATAACACAGTGTTTAACAAATATGGGACGTGGAACCGTTTGATTTCTACTTGATCAACAAGACATTGTAACTTTAAAAAATGAAGTAACGTATTAAATTACGAACAAACACTGAGCTACGTATATTTAAAGATTTGTATAATGTATTTTCGCTCATATATCTATTCGCCGAAAAAGTTTCGCAGTAATCTCTTTTGCCGAAATCTCTTTTTTCCTTTTTGATAATTGCTTGAAATCCTTTGTATGCTTCTCTCATCGATGCAGCACCATCGTACGCCTGACCAATCGAGTATTCATTCCAATTTAGGTTCATATAACAAATATTTTAACACATGGTTAAAAGATGATTTCCAATTGTGAGTAAAGTTTCACGAACCACCACTAATCTTTCACTAACTATTCCTGAAGTTTGATTTATGTATCTAAAAACCAATGAAAGTTGTTATTTTTGTGATATGTCAAAAGTTGGGTCTAACGAAACAGTAAAAAATGTAGAGCTTAAAATGTCTTGATGTATCACATTACTAATATATTATAAGTAAAAATGTCTTTGCCATGATAAAAAGTTATGTGTTTTTTTGCCTTTAATTTGTACTTCTGTAATATATGAAGAAAAAGCTGGAGTATATTTTATATTGAAAGCAAAATAGATCATTAAAATTACCTCTGGATGTATCTTGGCATCCTTCTTTATACTCCCTAAATGGAAGACAATGTCTAGCAAGAAACAAAGTCAGGTCTACTAAATGGCTAACTATTTCTCTATTAATAGTAACATTTGGCTTATTTTATACTATTATTGATGGCAAAAGATGAAATAAAGCTTCTTTGTAGATAGCTTTAATTGATGCTGTTATATGTTTTTCAGAGGGTAAATGAATAATAATTATAGCAACTCCATTTTTCCAGTATAAAAAGCCTTCTCATGTACAACTCTTATTTCTACGATTACCAAACGATGCACAGTAAGCCAACATTTTTTTTCTAACAGAATAGGACAACTACTTCATGCAAACTATTTCTCCACTTAGTTGTTTTTTTATGTTAGGTATTAATTTTCATCAAATGATAGGCCCTGGCCATCTTTTGGAAAACATTTATTTGGTAATTCATTAGGAACAGCCTGAGGTAGCCCATTTTTGAAGATATATTCAATAAGATCAGGGTTTATTTTATCAACTTGTCCAAGGACAGAAAGATATCGCCAAATTCAAAAACTATAAAAAAAAATGTATCATATCTCATCGGAAGTATGTATAAAATAATATTAACCTTACTACTACTTCTTCATGTGACTGTGGGAATGATAAGCAAACAATCTCCCATATAGTAACTGAATGTCCGATCGGTTCATTCAAAAGGAACTTTAAATGATAACCATACAGCTAACAAGGATGTAGTTGATTGGATACGAAATCTGGACATTAATTTATAGCATATAGTTTCAAATATATTCCAGCTATAATAGTTACCACTTGTCATATTAATCTTATTTTTTATTTTATTTCAATTTTTTATTTTTACTATAATATTTGTTTCTGTTTACATTTTCATGTTTAAATGTGTTGCTCTACTTCGTCATACGAAATATATATATGTAAAATATTATTCACCTGATGTAGGTAGATAGTTTTAAAACCCTTTACAATCATGGGCAAATACCAATAAAACTTTTATAGAAGAGGTACTGGCATATCAAATATTTGAAACTTCTTTCACTTTGGTCAGGAATGATAATTCCTATATTTTGTTATGGTCCAGGCAATAGGGGGGTTTGTTTTGCAAAAAAATACTAAAGTTTTGAAACTTTGCCAAAATTTAGGTCTTGGGGCACTGATTGACTAAAAAAATTGAGCAATCCTTCAGAGGTCCTTAACCGTCCACCATCTTGCATAGGTTCGTTACAAAAGATGAAAGAAATATTATATCACGAAATTACTATCATGAATATAATATATTTACGTCATTTTAGAGCACGGCGACACATTCTATGATGGGTGGATGAACTTCAAATTTTTATGTATCTAGGCTATTTTTATTGAAGTTCTTAGTTTTAGAGATATTGCAAAAAAACAGTAGAAAAGAGAAAAATTTCAAATACTGTGTGATTCCTTTTAAAGGTAACACGACATATTTCAATCCATTAACCTCGGGTTGTTATGGGGTTTTCGGGAGGAGTTAAGGAATACATAAATACACATTTTTTGAGTATTTTAAAATTGTTATATCTTTGAAGGTGCGCATGCGCAGTATCACTTACTATTTTTTCTATGGCAACTGGTGTTTCAAATATCAAATTCGGATAGACAGAATTTTTTTAAGTCATTTTTACCTCCTTAACATTGGCTCTAAAACCAATATGGACTGAATGACAACGAGCAAACCTTTTAACTTAATATTATTGAATTTTTCAACAATTATACTACGATTTTACAAATTCTACCCTTTTTTTGTCACTCATACGTAACATTTTTTTAGTCATTAAGATTACGTCGCACTAGCTTATGCTGTCTCTATCTTACACACGTTCGACATAGCAAATGTTCGTTCGTTCACCAGTTTAAAAAGTGTGCTCAGTGCTGTTAGTTTTGGTATTAGAGTAAATCGACCTATTATCAAACTCTTAGGTAAGAACATTATCTGTGTCTTCTCGTGGTTTTTTTAGGATACTTTAATTTTAATATTTTACATACTCATAACTCACTTAAAAATTAAAATATCGTAAAGATCAACGAGAGAACACGGATAATTTTCTTACTTAATTACCTAAAGGTTTGATAATAGATCCTGTGAGACGTTCTCCTAATGTCTAAAAACATGTTACGTATGAGTGAAAAAAAATACTTGGAATTTGTAAAATCGTATGATGATTGTTGAAAAAAAAAATCACGTTTGGCAGAACTTGAATGTTACGAGTATCCCGGTTATGAGTTTATCAAAAGACGATCACGGTCACATTTAATTAAACATTCTATTTAAACCTGAAAATTAGAACCAGAAAAGTACTTTCATTCTTTATTGATGTTATTTAAACCATGATGAGAAGAAAGCGAATAACTCGGTGTAAGCGACACTTATTTTGGGTAGGTATTTATGTTATGTAAAAGAACAGTAGAATCAGCAATAGATTATCATAAGCACCTGCAATATCTTATCATATCTAAAAATAATATTAATAGGATTATTGGAGAATTGCAAAATAACCAAACTTCACATACCTACTACAAACGAAACAAACGATGAGTTTTAAATTAACGATTTAGAAGAAGCTATGGAAGAGCTACAAAATAATGCATATAATGAAGAAAATGTAGAAAGTTTGGTAGACAATTTAAACGTTAATCAAAAACGAGTATTTAATTTTATTAGGGGTGAAATAGCAAGTGAAAATAAACACCAATACAACACTTTGTTTCCGGTGTAAGGGGTAGAGGGAAATCATATTTGATTAAAACTATTAAGGCTTATGTAAAAAACCAATTAAATCGAAATGTAGCTATAACGGCTCCAACTGGAATAGCTGCATTTAATATACAATTTATGTCTATTCACCGTTTATTGCAGTTACCGGTAGAACGTGGGCACACCATACAGTCCCTTATCAAGTGATTCTCTTAAATAAATTAAAAATGAAAAATGTAATTTTTGTTATAATTGACGAGGTAAGTATCTAATGTGACATTGATTTATATACATTTAAGACTATGTGAAATTTATGATACTGGTAACAGTATCAGATGGTTGGTTTGGGAAAATCAATATCTTAGTTTTCGGATATCTTCTTTAACTACCACCAGTAAATGAACAAACGCCATTTCTACCATTAAATGCAAAAAATATATGCAAGTATCTACTTGCATTAGGTTCTATAAATGTGTAGGAAAAATCGCTTACTTACGATGAAACAACTGAAAACTTGAGACAAAAGAGTGATCCTGAATATGCAAATATACAGGAAAGAATTAGAATTCTAGGATTTTAAAATCTGATATTCAAACTGCGAATAAACAAAAAATTAGTTTTAAAATCAAAGAAAAACCTACAGATATAATAAGACAATTGTACGAAACTATAATGAAGCTACCAGTTCTACACTACAAGAGAACATTGCTCATTTTTAAACAATGGAATATTATCTTTATTACCTTCAGATAACATTTGTTTAGAATCGATTCTGTTGATTGTAAACCATCAACTAAAATAAAAGCTATAAAAAAACTGTCGAAACTTGATGATGATAATTCGCGGACAGCTGGTCTTCAAAAATATTTAAATGTGAATTAAACTGTAAAATTATGTTACAAAGAAATATTGATGTATCAAATGGTTTGGTTAATGGTGGTATAGAAACAGTTAAAAATATAATAAATGGAATTAATGGCAAGTCTCAACAAATTCAAGTGATCTTTAAGGATATAATATATAAACTTGAACGTGTTACAGGCAAGTTTGAGCTTTTTCACGGAGCATTCGTATTCAGAAAACAATTTCCCATAAAGGTCGCTTAGTCACAAAAGTCAAGGTATGTCGTTGGAAAATTGTATTGTAGATGTAACTCAATATTTTCTCGTTAAACATATTTAGCTTTATCTAATGTAAATAGCCTAAAATGGTTGCATTTAATTAATTTTGACCCAAGTAACATAAAAGCGCAGATAGCAGCTAAAGGAATATAACAGATTAAGGGCCAAATGTAGACCTGACTTGAATTAGATACCACTCAAACATAACAAAAATATACACGTAAAAGATATAATATGGAATGAAGCATCAAATGTACAGGTCCATAACATTCAAACATTTCAACACCAGCCTATTACCAATTTTTGTATCCCATGGTTTTCAAATTTAGATGCGGTTTCTTGTTATACAAATACATCTTTGCAAGTAATTTTCAATTGTACTCACATACTAAATATCTTGATTAATTCTTAAGAAGACACTATATTTAAGAAACTTGCATACTCATACAAATCACAAGTATGTCAACTAGTATAAGAAATCAGATTGGTCATCCTTACGTTAACATAGAACAGCAAGATACTGTTGAGTTTATTATTGCACTATAACTAAACAATAAAAATTAAATAAAAAATTAACATCATTGTAAAACAATAAGATCTTTTACTTACAGTATATTATTAAATATGATAATTTCTAAAAACTAATGATATCCCAACAAAAACACTCCGTCAACTCCGAGGAAAAAACCCTAGGTAAAAAAAAAACTAATATAAATGCTATAAAATGTGTGATATGAGGTAAAATCGAAGTAAATTTTCTAATGTGTAAAATTGGTTATTTATATTTATTTATAAAATGAATAATTTTAACTAAAATTGATCAAATTGAATTTACTTGGCCGGAAGATTCAGTCTAAAAATGTATAGCCAAGCACTTAGTTTATGTAATAAATAATGAAGACGCCATTAAAATAAATGCATTTGTTTCCGACCAAGTAAACTAAATTTGGATCAATTTTAGTTAAAATAATTCGTGTTATAAATTAATATAAATAACCAATTTTTATTAAATTTGAATTAATTACTCATATATACATTTTACACATTAGACCATTTACGTAGGTTCCACCTTATATCACACATTTTATAGCATATTTTATATTTATTTTTTTTCTTAACATTTTTTTACAAGGAGTTGACAGAGTGTTTTTGTAGGGATATAATATTATTCATTCCTAAACAATATAAGTTTTGTGTATTTTTTCCTCATTGATCCACATTTCTTTTTCCTTTTATAGAACCAGTATGGTGAAATCTTAAGTCTAGAAATGTAGTAACTATTAAAGCTATAACTTGTATTGAATAACTTTTGTCCACTACGGTGTTTGTTCAATTCTTAAAATATAGATCTTCGGTAAATATTTCTTTTAATTTAATTTATCATTTAATGTTTGATGTTTGGTAAATATACATTATGTGATCACAAACAACACACTTTACTCTTTATAACCATTATTAAAATAGTAATAATTAGTATATTATGATTGTTGTAACAAATAAGTTATTAGCGCAGATCAGTAGCCAGTAAATAAAAATGGAAAACAAGTAACAACAGTGAATGCCCGTGTTCACTAGAGTCAAGAAATAAGAATATTGCAAATTAGTAATTACGATTTATAATTTATATGAATATGCACTGTGCGCGCCAACTGTTAAGAATAAAGACAAAAATAAATGTAATATTACCGAATAACCAATCCATTATTATACAATCTTCTTTTTCCTTTACCGGTTATGTTTCAAAAATTCACCACGCACCACATGACTAGGTATACACCGGTTAACTAGCCTTGATACCAGAAGAAAAGTATTGGACATACGATTCATTAACAATCTGGTTAATGGCAAAATAGATGCTACTCGTATATAAAATAAAATCGCATTTCGTGTTCAAAGGATTGAGTCACGGACTACACATACATTTCAACTCTGTAATCGTTGAACAAATTACTTATGTAATGATCCTATACAGAGAATAATACGTCTCATTAATTCAGAACCCAATCTTTTAGACTATAAGCCTGAGTGAAAACCATAATATCAAACATGAAGATCTTAGTTCAGGACCACAATAAATGTTTGTTTTAATTTGTTTTATCTGTGTGTACATTAATCATTGTTGTTAATAAATTATACATTATATATTTATATATATATATAATCTCCAAAAAAACTTCGGAGAAGTAAAACAAGTCTTCTGTGCTTTACTTAAATGGATTGGAGTACTTGAATTTTGAGGTAAATAAAGAATTGAAATCAATATCAAAATTCTGTGCTTAGTAGGTGCAAGAGAGAGTATAAAGAAAGTTCCTGTTAAAATTGTGGTAAATAAAGAAGTGAAATCAAACCTCAAAATTCTGTGCTAAAACTTAATTGACTATTGAAGAAAATTCGATGACATGCAATTTTACCACATTTTTAGCTAAAAAAAAAAATTGCACAGAATGTTCCACATTTGCCTGCAAAAATTCACATGTCCATGGATGCACTTCGTTCTGTGCAATTTTTTTTTGTAGCTAAAAATGTGGTAAAATTGCATGTCATTGAATTTTCTTCAATAGTCAATTAAGTTTTAGCACAGAATTTTGAGGTTTGATTTCACTTCTTTATTTACCACAATTTTAACAGGAACTTTCTTTATACTCTCTCTTGCACCTACTAAGCACAGAATTTTGATATTGATTTCAATTCTTTATTTACCTCAAAATTCAAGTACTCCAATCCATTTAAGTAAAGCACAGAAGACTTGTTTTACTTCTCCAAAGTTTTTTTTGGAGATTTCAGCTATTTTTCTGAAGCAAGAGACATTAATTCTATATTGATAATCTATTCTATAATTATATATTATTTCTCTTCTAATACTAATATGTGAGCATTTTTTGAATTGGTCGGCCATGGTCTTTTCTCCACATTTTCATTGTTAATGAGAAACCAACCGTTCATATTATCTCGTACCATTATACTATATTCTCTTGATGTTGTTGTGTTACTAAAAAAGATGGTACTCTGAACTCTATATAAACGGTTGTGAATTTTTACCTTCGCTGTTGGTACTGATTTTATCTTACAGTTCGAGAACATTGATGTAATGTTATCCAACTCTATTTTAACTATCAACATTTTGTTTCAGATCTACCTGTACCACATGTTCATTTCTTTGATTATAGTTTTTACATTCTAAATATTTTTTGTTGATAGATTGCTGTAAGTTCATAAGTTCTTTGAAGTCATGTGAAGTCTTGCCATCATTTTTTAGTTTCAAATTCAAAACATTATTATTAAGACAACACCCACCTTTCAAAAAATAACTAGGAAATAGTTTATGCAACACTTTATCATAATTTATGTGGCCGGTTTTTATTGTTGCCGAATCACATATGAAAATATTTTGCGTGTCATAATAGCTACAAACCCAATGTCCCATTTCACTTATATTTATGTAACTCAAAGGTTTGAATAGTATTTGGATATGTTTCTGATTGGAATTAAGTGCTACCATGTCCACCATTGCTTCAGGAACTTGTAATTCATTATTAGAACAAAAAAATTCATAATTAAAATTTTTTTGAAGCAAATATTGGAAGAACATTATATGATCTCCATGAAGAGCTATATTCTGAGTTTGAATCTGATCTACGAGTTGTTCTTTTGAATAAATCCAGTCCATATTAGTGAAAAGAGTAATACTAAATTGTTTTATTTCAAATTTATGAAATAAGTATATAATAATAATAATATAGTATAGAACTAATAATATAGAATAATATAATATACTAATATATACTAATAATATAAAACTGTATATTCGAATAACAGTCGAGTGGAAACTGGAGATCAAACATCAAACAAACATTTAACGTGTTGCCCTCAGCGCTCTCACGGCTCGAGCGTCGCTAATGAGCACCGACTACCGAGCAGTACGCTCCAGTAAAGACAAGTCAACGCGTGCGCGTAAGCGATAAATAAATAATATTACGGTCAATCTCCCCCTTCACTCTTCTACACCGGACACTGAATTGATCACAACTAGTCTGTCGTCAACGACTTGACTGATATTAGTAGTTTATGCAGTACTTGCATAAAATACGGACTCCGCGAGACAGCAGAGAAAGATTAACATACGGCCGACCGTCGGTACGTTTATCACTGTTATTGTAATAACTAATAATGTACGCCGTACGGATAGTAATAAATAATAATCGAACGGGCGGACAATATGGCTATACACAACCTGCAGCACGGCGGCCGGACGGCTAGCGAGCAAATGAAAATAATGAAATAGTAATAGGAGTAGGAAGCGCGTTGCGCGTATGCCACACTGCCGCGCCGCCGTGCAACCAAGTTCACGCACTCACGCATGCGCATATCGTCACAACTCAACGCGGTATTGCGAAAGCGAAAAACTAGTAAATTCGACCGTTCTCCATATACGTTGCATGTAAAAATCAAAATATCGTCCGTTTTCCTGTATATATATCTCTCTGTTCACTCTGTGCTACGACACCGGGCCGCCGTAAAGCACAGAACGCTCTCTAGCGAGATCTATCGATATATATATGATATATATAAGTAATAATTAAAATTTGTGAGATTGCCGTCAGGCGTTGATTTATACAAAATAAAATAAAACGCAGTTACCGATGACCCAACCTGAAATCCTATTGCACATGTGCGTAGTAATCATGAACTAAGATAGTATGGACTGGACACGACTAGGCTGGCCGGTGGGTGGTGTGTGATCCTATTTTGTCACGGTAATTTTGTATGGTGCGGGGAACACAGATATATATAATAAACTAGATTGCTAACTGGCCTATACAGCCTGTGTATTTAATTGAAGCCAGCAATCCGAAATCTTAACCGAGGCCAGAACCACATACAATTTATTAATTATATTGATAACAAATGTTTTTTTTTTCAATATTAGAAAAATAATTCTTTAGTTCACAAGTTATAATTAATTTAGATATTATTAGTTTTACATATAAATAAAAAAAACATATCATCTTCAGTTTTTATAACATTAATAAATTCTTAAATAAATTAAATAAATCACATATGACATATCAAGTATTAAAAATTAAACATTCATTGTCAGATTGTATAGTATAAAAATCATTATAGCTTTTATAGTCCTTTGTAATATAACATTGAATAGTAGATCACATGTTATAAAATAAAATAGTCTTTGTCAGTTTTTGTCTTTTGCTTGCCGTTTTTGCAATTGACGATGTCAGTATTTTACTGTAGGCATGTAGTCTTATCTTGAGTTCTGGTATGTTCTGGTAATTTGGTTAATTATATCTATTTTATGTGGTTTTGAATATAAGTCAGTTGCATCCCAACAATCATTACATTCTCTGAATGCTGTTGAAGATGTTGCTAATTCATTTTGTACATAAATAATTATTTTTTGGTCCATGTTTTTAGCAAACAATTTTTTTTTAACAATTATCAATGATTTAAATATATTTTCTGTCAATCTAATGGTTTTATAGACACTATCTGAAGGTAATTTAAGACCGCCTTGTTGTTTTACAAACGTAAATTTCCTGATTAATTTATTATCATCTCCTTCTTTGTAGTACGTATGATCATGAACCCTTGGAGTATCTAGAATGGCTCGAATACAAGATTCACACTTCAAATTCGGTAAGAGTGTTTTTACTACATATCCACTGATATAATACAAAACATTTTCAGTGATCAAACTAAGAAATGTAGTGTTACTTTGTTCTGCCAATAAATAATAATGAATCCCATCATTATTTTGTTCTTTAGGTTTTTTGTAATTCCATTTAATCGCAAATAGTGAATCTTCAACTGGTGACAATAATGCACAATTTCCAGAGCTCATTTTAATAGAATTGTGCAATAATATACTTTTTAGAGCATTTTTAAACTCCAAACAATTTGGGTTATTATTATGCCCAAATTTGCCCCGCATAAACCCGAAGAATATTTCTATGGCGTCTTGGCTGAATTTATAGGTGAGTATGAACTTAAAACCATGGTTTGCCAATAAATCTTTGGCTATAGCTAATGTCGACTTCACAGCTGTAGCAAAACCAATAATAAATGTTTTTCTCTTACTCTTCCATAAATACTGACCCGTCACTGTCTTTAAAGAGTACAAGTACTCTACATTCTTTTTAATTTTTTTTTCTAGGTATTGAATATTGTGATTATAAATTGGTTGTTTCAATCCTTTAGCAAATGGATTTCTAGAGTTCAAGAAATCAAATATCTCATCAATAATACGAATAAATTTAATTGTTGCTTCACACTTTTCAAATTCTACTGATGTTTGAGAGAGATATGTAAGAGCATCTGCAACAGAACTACTTGATGTTTGTACAGCAAGTTTTACCTTCATTGAATTACCTTTCCAATTTATATGAGCTGAACTTAATTTGTTTCCTAATTTAAATCCTACTTCATTTTGTAATTTAAATAGTTTATCAATATACTTCCACTCTATTCAATTATTATCTTCATCTTTAAAAGCGCCGAAAGTCCCTAATGCATTTCTACCTAACTTAACATTGTGGCACGCATCTGGTGTAAAATATATGTTTGGTGTGAAGAGGTCAATTTTGAAATCAGATTTAATCAAATCATAAGGTTGGTCCAAGTCACAACCCAATATTTTAAATTTACTAAGATTAGCATATGCACCATCACATGTGACATTTATTATTTTAATTCCAAATTCATTGCACTCAGTAATAGCCATTTTGATTAATTGTGATTGAACCGTTGATTTTATTTTATCCACAAACCAATATCCAATTGGCCATTTCCATTTTTTCTTCAAACTTGATAATAAAAAAACAAGAAATTCTGTAGCTGCCAATTCACAATCTTCAACAATCACATTATTTCCATAATCACAATATCCACTATACCTACAAAGAATTAAGATAAACGTACACATTTATATCATTCATTATCCTAATTCAATAATTTGTATTTTTTTATATACTTATGATTAACTCTGTCCCAATGAATTTCCTTCTTAATACTCATAGAATCTAATATAAGACAGCAATATTTGTCTTCGTCAGGGAAATTTGCAATTTCTTTTAAAACATTTTTTAAAAAACCAATATTTGTTTCAATATTTGAAATCGAATTTCTAATGACACTAGGGCATGGTAGGCTAATTGAAGACCTTTAAATTAAATTATGACTTAGCATTTTGTACTTAACTCACAATTTTACTAATACAATTTATAGATTTAGTTTCATTATACCTGATATAACTGTAAGCTTTAGGAGAATAAAAATAAATTGTTGTGGCAAACTTTTTTACTTCATCAGTATATCGCCGTGCTGTTGGTTCTACATTACTATTTTGTATTAAATCATTTAAAAATGTTTCCGTAAAATTTTTTGCAATTGTGTCAGTGGTTTCTGTGTCAGTTGATGATTTTATTGTAGACATCATCTCCTAATAAGTTGTAATATTATATAAAAATATTTGCTTGCAATTTTACATATTTCAACCACTGAACAAATATTGACAAATCCATATCCAATACATTAAACAGAATAGATATTAATATTTTAACAAGAAATGTACACTAATAATTCAATAACTTTGCATAGCCAAAGTGACATTGGAAATATATTTATGTTATAAACAAAAATGCACACAAAAAATATATCATATAGGCACCATTTATTTGTTAATTTTTGTTATAATTACATAATATACATATTATTATCGCTCCTCTCAGAATGTATTGTTAAATTTTTGTTATTATTATATCCATGACAACCACACACATCCAAAGTTTTTCTCCTATTTTTACACTATGAACACACAATTTTAAATTTACTATTAATATACATATACATAGACTTATACAATCAAATATAATATACAGAATGATTTGTTATCATTATTTTCGAGTTATTCGTAATTATTCTTGTTTTGTAAATGATCCTGTAATTGTCTATAGAAGAAAAACATAGCAAACAAACATTAATTTTTAAACTATATATAGATATTGCAATTAAATCAATTACCTTATACCACATAAAACCATACCTACCATACTGTCATCAAAATACAATACCTCAAGTGTAGTTATTTTCATATTCTGTCTTCGTACTGTTTGTTGCAGTACTTTAATCTTTTTTCTCAAACCAGTTTTTATTGGAGATTCTTCAATGTTTCTTTTTAGTTTCATTCTCTGAAGAGAAGGTGTATATGTAGGCGTATGTGGTGAAAGACTAGTATCTAAAATAAAATTTAATATACTAAATATCTTTTTTAAATAACAAACTTTTACTCACTGTGTCCATAATATGTTAAGTCAGTTGCTGTATCTATTTCATTTAAAGGTGTTAAATCTTCTAAAAATTGAATTTTGTATTAACATTTATACTTTATATATAGATACGTGCCTAAGTGATAATTGGTTAAAATACCTGGTTGACTGTTATTCTGAACTATTTCACTAAGTACTGGAGAATAAACATTTCCAGTTATTTTTTTCTTTGTGTATTTTTTAATGGGAGCGGCAGTATAATTAAAATTACTAGGAACTACACCTTCTTTTAAAACTAATCTGTCTGGATTTTCAACAAAATCATCGGGATTAAAATATGCACTGCACAGTCTACTATATTTGGATGCTTTAAAATCTTTTCTCTGGATGGCATTCACCCATTCTTTTTTCGTGGTTTCATTCAAGGGAAATCTTTAAAATAAAATAAGTAAAATACGTAATAGATAAATTGTCCATTAAATATTTATAATTTTACCTAAATAACTTAATATTTTTGTCCACTCCATCGACATTATTACAACCATACGCACAACATTTATAGGGCATAATTATTTAGTAATTATTTTTAATAATTTAGATTAAACCAATTTTACCACAATAAAAAGGATAAATTTCAAAAAAAGTAGAAAAACCAAAAACGTTGACACTTGACAGGACAACTACAGTGAACAGGTGGTCATAATTCGTCATTTAATACTGTGATAATAATTGATAATACTTCTGGCCTCAGATAAAATGGCGGATTTTCGCTTCACGTATTATCAATGTTGGCAATCTAGTTTATTATATATATCTGTGGCGGGGAACTAACCGATAATTTGTTGTGCGAACCTGGTGGTCTAGGATATAACTATAATTCGGCAATCGCCTTATCATGATATTAATTTATTATCACTATTCAAAATATTTAAAAAAAATAAAAATATAATATAATAATATAATAATTTATAATATAATTTATTATATTATTATATTATATTTTTATTTTTTTTAAATTCTTTCCATTTGATAGCTTCTTCAGCAGCTACTTGTATCCCAAGTAATATTGAAGTGTTATTACAAAACATTTCATCTTATTTTTCTCACAGTCCAAAAAGGCAATCTGTCTTGAAAGAACTGCAAAGATATTTGAATGAATCTCAGTTGAAAATATTCAGTCCAAGTCAAACAAGAGGGTTGGCACTAGATAAATGTGTTGAAAGAGTATTAAGCCAGTGAAGAGTACTAAATGATTTATTCCGATTAAGTAGAAGAAAAAAACCCAGCTGCAAATGTCATATATCAAGAACTACAAAATCCATACAATAAAGCTTACCTCTGTTTTTTGCATTTTATTCTTCCTGTTTTCAATACTTTTAATGCTTTATTTCAGTCTGAAAAACCTCTAGTATTCGTGCTTTACGAGGAAAGTGTTAGATTCTTGCGTATAATGTGTTCAACATTTTTAAAGCCAGAATGTTACAAAAATGATGAATTTGACAAGTTTAAAGATCCTTCAATGATACTTCCCAACAATAATATTGAAATTGGCCATGCAACTAGAAGTATATTAATCAGCTGTAAAAACGATGCAAATTATAATAAATTTATGAACATAATTATATTTTTTTACCAAAAAGTAGTTGAAGATAGTTTAAAACGTCTTTCAATGCATACTCTGTATAAAGAATTTAGATTTGTTGATCCAAAAATTGTGCTTACGAAGTCTAATATCACACTAGATTGTAAAATAAAATCATTGAACTACGTAAATAAGAAAGAAGTTAATTTAAATAAATTAGGTCAGATAAAAATTACTTTTCAGATTCTGAGAAAACTGAATTACCTACTGATGTGTTGCAGTTTTGGAATTACATGTATGAGCTTAAAAATTTTAATGATTGTTTCATTTTTAAGAACATAGCTTAATTAGCATTTAATGTATTGTATTTGCCTCATGTTAATGCCGGTGTTGAAAGAATTTTCTCTATGATGGCAAACATAAAGACATAAAAAAGGAACCAATTTAAACCAAGTACGGTTAAAGCTTTATTAAGAATAAAGTTAAACATGGCTAATAAAAATATGTGTTGCCTTACTACAACTATGACCGAGCAACAACTCAAAAAATTTAATCAATGCATGTATAATGACGAAGACGAATCTGATGAAACTGACCATGGATCTGATAGTTGATACTAAATAAAAACAAATAAGTAATGATAATAGTTTTTTAGTTTTTTTATACACCTATGTTTTCATAACTTTTTATTTTAATTTGTGTTAAATTTATAATTGTTTGACTAGTAACCGATTATGTGATAAGGCAAATGCTGTGATGGTGTGATACTGATAAAAATAGTGCTGATAAGAGGCCGATAAGCTCGATAATAAACGAGTGTCTCATTACAGCAAAATTTTTGGCTGCGTTATCACTTATATAAAATATTTACCATATCAGCTGTTATCATAGATTGAATGATAAAAGTTAAAACCACAGAACAAACATAAAACCGTTAAATTTATTTTATTATTTATCATACATCATAATTAATATTAATATTTTATTAGTATTGTTTAAATTGTATCATATGAATGATCAAATGCACTGTGAACATGAGCACTCTCACTATTAACATCTTCAAATCCAGATACTATTGCATTAGTTTCATTTATGGAAGGTTTTGAGATTTGAGTTTTATGACAGCTTTTTTTTTTAGTTGAGTAGAGCCGAATCTGATTATCAATTTTTTTTGTAACATTGATATCTTCAACTGGCGTAAGTTTTATTTTTTCTCCTTCATTCATGAGTGTAATAACTTCACTTAATTTTTTTTCTATCTGTATTCTATTTTGATCACTTAATGCATTTGTTCCAGTTAGACCCAAAATAATTTCTGCTTGATGTTTTATTTTCAGATTTTGATCAATTTTGTGGTGATTTGTTGTGTTCATATCAAATAAGATTTTTTGTTCTTCAAGATTTGTTTCTTTATGAATAATATTATTGTCATCCAAATGTTTATAGAAATTACGAGCACAAGCATGTATATGCTTACAAATATTTGCTTTGATGACATTGTCAATGCAAGAACAATGGTAAGTATGAATGCAAATTTTGCATTTTTCACATTTTAAACATGCTGTTTGTGTACACGTTTCACTAACTTTCACGATATAATACTGTTGGGAAGGATTTGATAATGAGTGTATTATGTACCCTTTCTCATTTTCCAAAATGTTAATTTGTTCCAGTTCAATTGTTTCACTCATGTTATGACTTAGGCGGACTTTTTGAACTTTTTCGGTTGGGACATATTTTGATAATTTGATCAATCGCTTGTAAAGACTATCTCTAGAAAATTTCATGAGAGCATGAATAGTTTTGTCTAAACGTTTCACTCTTTTCCCTTCCAAATATATATGCTTCAATATCTTGTGAAACGATTCCAAATACATATTTGTATTTATCCCAAGCCTCAACCTAAAACAATAAGCCCAACATTCTGGCCGCCTTGAATAATATTTCTCAAAGTACATTCCAAACCTATTAGTATCATCATCATCCTTCAAATCTTGTAAGACATTTTCGAGGTAACTATAAAATTGTTCTATAGATGTGGTTTGTAAAAGGATTCTTAATGATTTGTAGACTAATGCTTTCTTTTCAGGTCCGCCACTGATTTTACATAGATTTTGTCTCCAGTTTTTGTCTACATGCCATGTACACAATAGTCTGTGTTCAACAGATCCCATAACAACAACCCATGCATTATAGAACGCTGGAGCATCATCAGTCATAAATACATTGCAGTTAATAACACCTACTTTATGCTTAATTATATTGAAATATAATTGGAAAATTATCTCATCAGATCGATTTGACAAACAGAACGCAACTGGACAACCTGATCCAAATTCATCAACAGTTACAATAGTATATAACTGAATATCATATGCATTTGTGCCATGAGTACCATCTATACAAATTTTATTGTGGCCGAATTTTTTTAATTGTTCTACTTGAAAATTTGTCATTAAAATGATTGTAAAATCTTTCTTATCCAAGACTCCTTGTTCTCCGTTCCAATCATTCTCATCTTGGCCTTTGTAGTATAAAACAGGACATTGTTTTTCTAATGTCTTCATCTCTTCAACCCATAACTTTATACTAATTGCATCGTTTTTGTGTTTTTTTGTAGCATAATCAATATTGAAGTCTCGTGAAATGTTATGCAGATCTTTACGGTCCAAAAGGAGAGATCGTTTTAAAGTATCATCTGTCACTTCTTGATCACGAATTGAATCTATAATATGTGCGAAAGTTACTCCTTCTTTCAATTTTGCTGAAAAATAAAAATTATTGGTTAGTTAAAAATAATTAAATTAAATGCATAATATTTTAAATAGGTATATAATATGTATAGTAATACCAGCAATTTTTGTTCTGGTTTCTTCGTCAATTCTAATTCTACCAATTTCATGATCATGGCCATAATGATTTTCCCAAAACTTAACGTTAACTGTCCCTTCATGTTCTATATATGTAACTTTCATCATAGATGGACAAGTTCCATCTATTTTATTACTTCCCATGAATTTAGTTTCTCTCGCTTTCTCCATTTTTTCATGGTTTTCATTCTTACTACCATAGTTATATGAACGATGACAATAATAATATTGTCTTCTACATCCATCATGAAATTTTGACATTGCTCTATCCTTAACAAACATTGAAAAACTTTTTTGTTCTTCTCCTCTTTTCCATGTGTCAAATTCTGTGATTAAAATTTTTAATGATTTTTATTTGTAAATAATAAAAAATAAATAAACAAATAGTATTCACAATTATTACCTGGGATGTTTAGAAATTTCATTTCCTTCACTTTTTCAGTAAACCCATGTATTTGAGATAAGTGAATATTCAATTTAGCATAGGAGTACAAAGGTTCTTTACATTCACTATTAGGACAAATTATTCTAGTTTCTTTCTTCTTTCCTTCATTATCATTGGTTTGATGAAACTTTTTGATATGTGTGTCCAACGTGTTTTTAGTTTTAAAGTATTTGTTGCAAATATCACACAAAAAATCGGTAAACACTGGTTCTATGTTATGAATATTCCGTAAATGTGCGTTCAGATTTTTTTTTTGTGTAAAGTTTTTGTCACATATTGAACATTTTATTTCAGATTCCATTATGGTAAATAAAAATAAAACAAAATCACAAATATAATTTGAAAACAAAATAACCAAAGAATTTATCTCAGTAAATAGCGCAGTCAAGAAATGATTTTTAGACTTAGTGGGTATCTTGATAAACTTTCTACAAATAGATAGTGAGTGCTTTGGGAATTCAATGGGATCTTGATAAACATTCTACAAATAAATGTAAAAATTATCTGGGAATTCAATAAATGAAGTTTTATATATAATATAATTCATAATAATATATTTAAAATTTGGCGGTAAAATTATTCAATCTATGATAACAGCTGATTTGGTAAAAATTTATTGATAAGTGATAACGCAGCCAAAAATTTTGCTGTAATGAGACACTCGTGATAATAACCGTAGCGCTATCGTAGCGCTTTTTATTCTCATTAGTGGCGGTATTTGGTTTTTTAAATATGGCCACACTGATAATAAATAATAATGCAAACACGATGTAGAGAATCTCTTCTCAAGTTTAGATTCAGATAGTTAAATAGTTTGCTCCTCAACCTGTTCTTAATATACTTTAAAGTCGAAAAAAGGTAGGTAGAGCATTATTTTACAGGAGGCCGGCCAACCAGGACAATTCCCGGCATCCCGGCCGCCCAATCCGTGCCTGATGGTAGCCAATTTGCAAATTCATTGTGAAAAACAGAAAAAATGTACGCAATAAAAGATAACAGATTTTTTTTATTGTACATAAACATTAAACATTTTTATAAACATTTATATATACCCACTTTTTGATACATACTTATTGTATAGTATATCCAAAAAAAAACTTCGGAGAAGTAAAACAAGTCTTCTGTGCTTTACTTAAATGGATTAGAGTACTTGAATTTTGAGGTAAATAAAAAATTGAAATCAATATCAAAATTCTGTGCTTAGTACCTAGGTGCAAGAGAGAGTATAAAGAAAGTTCCTGTTAAAATTGTGGTAAATAAAGAAGTGAAATCAAACCTCAAAATTCTGTGCTAAAATTTAATTGATTATTGAAGAAAATTCGATGACATGCAATTTTACCACATTTTTAGCTAAAAAAAAAATTGCACAGAACGTTCCACATTTGCCCGCAAAAATTCACATGTCCATGGATGCACTTCGTTCTGTGCAATTTTTTTTTGTAGCTAAAAATGTGGTAAAATTGCATGTCATCGAATTTTCTTCAATAATCAATTAAATTTTAGCACAGAATTTTGAGGTTTGATTTCACTTCTTTATTTACCACAATTTTAACAGGAACTTTCTTTATACTCTCTCTTGCACCTAGGTACTAAGCACAGAATTTTGATATTGATTTCAATTTTTTATTTACCTCAAAATTCAAGTACTCTAATCCATTTAAGTAAAGCACAGAAGACTTGTTTTACTTCTCCGAAGTTTTTTTTTGGAGATTTCAGCTATTTTTCTGAAGCAAGAGACATTAATTCTATATTGATAATGGTACTTTCCTGTTATACGAGACTACGGCTGTTATCGCGACTACCACCCAAGACTACCTCCGTTGTCGAGACTACCGCACTTATTTTGTGAAACATCACAATCCTGTTATCTAAGACTACCAAAATGGTACTTCCTGTTATACGTGACCACCTTTATTTTTCTTGCCTCCTTTGATAGATTTTTTAATAATATGTACTTTGGGGATGGCCAGAATGAAATAAAGAAAACATTTAAATACATAGTAATTATTCGTAATGTATTTTACATGTTACACGTCAAAGTGCCAAATTTGGCGCGATGTACGGAAAACAATAAAATAATAATAATACAAAATGATAAATCCACAAATATAATAAATATAATCGCAGCTTATGGATATCGTTTGACTATAATGTCAGCTAAATAAGATAGGTAGTCGCCATAACGGAGGTAGTCTTTAGTGGAAGTCGCGATAATAGCCGTAGTCTCGTATAACAGGAAAGTATAATTTTGGTAGTCTTAGATAACAGGATTGTAATGTTCTCAAAAAACAGGGTAGTCTAGTATAACAGGAAAGTACCTTGATAATCTATTCTATAATTATATATTATTTCTCTTCTAATACTAATATGTGAGCATTTTTTGAATTGATCGGCCATGGTCTTTTAATTAGTAGTTTATGCAGTACTTGCATAAAATACGGACTCCGCGAGACAGCAGAGAAAGATTAACATACGGCCGACCGTCGGTACGTTTATCACTGTTATTGTAATAACTAATAATGTACGCCGTACGGATAGTAATAAATAATAATCGAACGGACGGACAATATGGCTACACACAACCTGCAGCACGACGGCTAGCGAGCAAATGAATATGTAATAGTTAGGAGTAGGAAGCGCGTTGCGCGTATGCCACACTGCCGCGCCGCCGTGCAACCAAGGTCACGCACTCACGCATGCGCATATCGTCACAACTCAACGCGGTATTGCGAAAGCGAAAAACTAGTAAATTCGACCGTTCTCCATATACGTTGCATGTAAAAATCAAAATATCGTCCGTTTTCCTGTATATATATCTCTCTGTTCACTCTGTGCTACGACACCGGGCCGCCGTAAAGCACAGAACGCTCTCTAGCGAGATCTATCGATATTATAATAAATAATAAATTAATATGTACCAATTGGCAATATCGATGTATGTATATGTATAAGGTATAATTGTCTCACTTAGTTGACACTTAGTAATTTCTCACAAATGTTCACTATGTATAGGTTTTCTTAATAGTATATAAATATAATATGTATGATATGAATAAAAATTATTATATAATAATTTATAATAGTAAATGGTAACTACCATAGTCAAAACAAATAAAAAATAATACTTTATTTAATGGTTTACTAATTTAGAATTTTTTTTGATATGAGAACTTTTTTTTTTTTATGTTCCTGTTATGAAGAGCTATGTGCTGTCTCATTCTTAATGTGATGTAATAAGTAATTATATATGTCATAATTGCACTTCTATGAGTATGACATGGAAATGAATTATTTATATTCTTAGACAAAAAATCATCTACACATAAATTAAAGACATCTTCCTCTTTATGAAACTTTTCAATAGAATCTTCTAGGGCCAAAATTAAATTAAAAATCCTGTGTTAGGATGGATTAAACCTCCTCTAGATTTTAGGTTTGTAAGTACAGCTTCAGATGTGATTGAACTGTTTCCCACTGAAGTAAAGTACAAAAAAAATAACAATAAGTAAAAAAAAAGTGTAAATAAAAAATCATATAACCTGCTTGAATTGTTGTATACACTCATCACACCTAGTGTTTTTCAAAATTTGTCGGCTAACATATCCACATATAGTATGTTACACAATTTTTAACTGATGATTGACAGTCATCATGGTCAAATATATCATCGGCTTCCCATATTCCCTCATTGGAAATTTGATTCAATTTATCCTCCAAGTTCGTAATTTTTGTAATTCTTTCAGATTGATTACTTTCATAAACATTTTTGACATCAGATAAAGTTATTTTTGGAGTCTTAGTTTCTAATATCATACAATTTCCTGATTTAGGGGGTTTTAAAATGGAATACGAGGATACAATTTGGTAAACTTGTAAAAAGGTCGGTGTTGCAGGATGGTCATTAGGCCCTGTTGCCTGCCTAATCATCCCAAAAAATTGCTAAACAGTAAAAAATAAACATAGGTATATATACATATTATTGGTATATGTAATTTAAATATGTTAGTCAGTAAATAGTCAAAAAATATATGACTTTTTTGTTGTGATACCTGCGATGAAAAATTGGTTATAAAATATTATAACATTTAAATTTATAATTTATGAATTATATTTAAATTTAAATTTACCCTCAAAGTTTTCACGTTATGAAGTCTATTTCGAACTGTCTTGATTAAGTGTGGTGCATCAGAAAAAAAAATAAATCTTACGGTTTACATCCATTGGGTGCACTATACTATTAACTAATCTATCCTTTTTCCCACTTATTCCTAATTCATTCCACAACTTTCTATTGGTAGACCCTACATCACAAACTACTCCATCAATTATTGCTCCAGCATTCTCAATAATGGAAATTGATTTAATCAATTGTTGTGTAAGTACAGGGTGCGGCAGTTAAACCCGACGATTTAAAATGAACTGGTGGGCTTGGCTAGAGCGGTGGAGATTTTGTGAATGTTCTTATCGCTTTTAAATAATCGGAATTTAGTAATCATGGAGCATTAAGGCGGGTTCACACTACACCGTGCCGTGTAATATAATCACGGTATAGTGTGAACCCCCCTTTAGTCGAGTGAACAGCGTGCGTTCGTGGTAAAAGCGTATTACAAAAGTAATGATATATGTAACAGTAATGTGTGGCTAACCAAGGGAGGCATTTACCAGGCAAAATTTTTTAAAAAATTAAGTTTTTAAATATATAACATAAAATTCCACTTGTGTACTTTTTATTTGTTTGGCGAAAAATTAATAAAAAATTGTTTTTTTTTTTTTATTTATTTTTTCAAATAGTCGGATTTGACTGCCGCACCCTGTATAATCCCTTAAAATATACAATTTGCTGCAGCATAAACTCAATAGTCAATATACAATATTATATCGCAAGACGAAAATCACAATAATTCGTGACAGAAACTATATTAATTTTCTATGTTCTAGTGTTCTACATACAATATTTAAACATTTAATTTGTATTATGTTTTTTTGGACACCATTCATACGGTTGAATGTCAAATTCAAATAGTTGAACGTCAAAACTCAAAATCATGAACGTAGAATATATCATGGATTAAATATATAGCGTATATTTAAGCCACTGTAGTAACCCGTCGCTCTCACTTGATTGGTTACTGCACACTTCTTTAACGACGAATGCACGTACACGTCGTCGCAATGAATCGGAGGATGGTGGTTGAAGTGAAGGTAGAATAAATAGTTTTACACAAAATGTAGTTAATTATAGAAATATGTTTATTAACACGAAACTAATATAATAGTTGATTTTAAGTTAGTTAAAATTTGTCGACAGAATAACAATTCTGCCGGAGAATAGTTGTAATTTAATTTGTACTTAATGTGGACGGCGATGCGGCTGTTTCTAGTCCGCGACCCACACAAGTATTGTAAAGCACTGGTAACTACTTCTATGTCTGAAAAGTCTGTGAAACAGGGCCCCTATTTATATGAGACATGCCCGGGACTTGGGAAAGGATGATTGACGTCATAGGAATGGCGTGATGCGTAATCGATCAGTATTAACCAATGAGGCGGCAGCCTCAGTGGCCTATTTTGGTGGCGTGATGTTCAGGCCACCTAACCTTTGGAACACCGTTTTTGTGCAAAAACGTCGGTTTACTACACCAAGATGTAGGTAAAACACCTACATACACCTACCTACATCGTGATTTAAGCCATAGAATATATAAATATATTATACATTATTATGGAATAAATAGATGGCGCTCTAATCGCAAAATTCCCCCCCACTACAATATTTACCGTGACATTTTCTGATCACGATTTTAGCTACCGTGTCCAGTCCATACTATCTTAGTTCATGGTAGTAATTGAGTAATAGTAGAACAGCGCACTCAAGTGGGCCCGCTGGAACTAACTACAAAGCCCGTGCTTTGTCTATGGTCTATGAGTATAAGCAAGGTTTAAGATATAATGGTTACATAACTAATCAGAAAAATATGGCCCTTCCCGATCAGTTATGAAAATTCACGTAGAACCAAGGTGGATTGATAAGGTGTAAACACTTCCACCCGCCCGTCTTAGATAAAGTGATCGAAAACTTTACTCCAGTTAAATATGCTGCTAGGTTCGCTGCCTACCCTATAGAGGATAAGAAATGTTAATATTTATATGTGATTTAAATGTACCTATTAAGGTTTTCAACTTTTTTTGTAGAAATGCGTTATAATATGGTATACCTATAGTATACGAGTATGAGTTATGATATATTTAATAATACATATAAATATATAATATAATAATGTAAACTAGCTATTTTTGTATTCATAAATGTGTAGTAAACCGACGGAGTCGCTTTCCTATATTCAATATTTTAATTACATTTCTCATGATGTGGTACGCTGGACAACAACAATACTATTAATCTTTTTCAATACCTTGGGTTTGGCAGTTTAATTAAAAAATCAATCTAACGATTAATTTACGGATCTTCGCTTTATCAAAATAATGCGAAAACAAAACCATAATTCACTCGATCTTCGCTTTGCCAAAATAATGCGAAAACAAACCTATTAAAATTGCCAATAAGCCACTCGGGTCTTTTGGCAATAACAACATCTAGCCCCATTCTCCTTTCAAATATCCATCTCCTAGACTCTACCGTGTACTTTTATATCCGCATAGATTTCATATAAATATAAGATGATGTCTATTGCAAAATTAGAATTAGTTTAGAGTCTGCACTACGTACATACTGTACGTAACTAACTTCTCGGGCAGATGCTTTTCGCTCTGTCCTCAAATTTATATTACACTTAATTGTGATCATTTACTTTTTAAAAACATTAATAAAACTACTTATACCTAACTTGTGTAACTTGTCTCTGCAACCTTTTCTCCTATTCAACCGTCAACGTCTTTGAACTCAAAAATATAAGCGTTAGTGAGGGATCACTACAAATGTTGTAATATAATTAAGATGTGTCCAAATTTTGTGGCTTGAAGTAACTACCTACTCGTTATTACACTATTGATATAGGTATACAATTAGAAAATTATATATTTTATACATGTTTATACTAATCTAGAATTTTTTTTCAAACGTTTTTCGTTTTTTTTTTGGTCTGACACTTTGTTATGTTTTTTGCAGGCAAAAATCATTCTTGTATTTAGGTAAAATTTTACGATGTATTTAGTTAATTCATATTCATGATCTGTACAACCAATTGAAAAAATTGAATTTTAATTGAAAATGTTGCTATTAAAGTAATTTATTTTGCTATTTGTATTATGATAGGTAATATCAAGCACTCGCAGTGGCGCAACTAGAAAAAAATTTCAGGGGGTGACGGGGTACAAACCCTTAACGCCCCGCCCTGGTTGCGCCACTGAGCGCTCGGATTAAAATACACTAAAAATGTAGAAAAAATGCATTTAACATTTAAACTTGTGTAGGTAAGTTTATGAATTATGAGTATAAAAAAATGGAACATTTGAAACACATTTGTAACTTGGAAAGCCTAGTGTAAGACATTCCAAAAAAAAAAAATGCAAATCCAAGCCCTAGTAATAATATATGTAATTTTGTCCAATGTATGTACCGACTACCGATTAGATTCACTTTTCTACTTTTCTATTATAATGTGGTAAAATTAATAATGAGGTATATTTCTATTTTAAATTAGGTTAGCACAAATTACAATCGGACATCAGTATAATATGCTATATGTTATTACTTTATACTTATAATATTTTTTTAACTGATTAGTATTTGGAAATATGAAACAATAATACAATAGTTAATATTTTAATATTTCAAACTACAATTTGTCTACAAAGGTACCTCAGGTGGATGAAATCTGGATGGATACTTTTTACCTTCATAACACTTTCGGTCATTAGGCAAACCAGTATTACACCCAGGAACAAAACATAAATTAGGCATTTTATAATGTTCTAAATTTATATTAACAAAACAATAAAAATTAAATGAAAATTTAGTATAGTGTGACGATTTTTCATTAATTAATAATTTTGATGTTGATACAAAATAATTAATGCAAGCACCAATTCCTTGTATTTTGTATTTATTTTGATCCTACTATATTGTTTTCTTTACCACCAATTAAACCAATCAGAAAGCAAATTGAGACTCCAGGGATAGTTCATAAATAATAGACATTTTTTATTGTGGTTAAAAAATTATAATTTATTCATATTTTAACAAATACAGTGGTAATTTATTGTGTTTTGCTTAAATTTTCTTTAAATCTTGCATACGAAGCTGTGTATTTTTGCTCCTCTATCGGGTAGGCAACGCGATCTAGCGGTGAGCTAAACTGGAGTAATATTTTCAATCAACTAATAAGCCTAATGTTTACACCTTATCAATCCACCTTGCGTAGAACTAAACTGTAGCGCTCATGGTGGGAAAAAGTTAAAACAGTTTCACGACATGGCTTACGAGATATTTAAATTACACCTGGCTACATCGCTACATGAGTAAATGAGTAATTCATATTATTCTTATTTTTGTATTATCTAGTACCAATTTACTAGAGATTCAATATAAAATTGGACATTACATTGTACATCTTTAATAATGTTAAAAGTATATAATAATAATCCAAATAGATAGGTAATTAAAAAAAATGCAGTAAGAAAAATAATAATAAAAATACAAAAAATATCATGCAGAGGTGCATACAATTGTATGTACATTTTTTCAAAAAATACTATAGCTATTTTGATATTTTTTTTTATTTCTATTGCTCTTTTTATTTTCCTGGTTAACCATATACCTATGTGAACTGACGCATTCTCATAGTTATGTAGTATGTGAATATATCACACATAACTTGAGTTGAGACTTATGCTCAGTACAAGGGAATTTCAACTGTAAATGATTAATTTTGAAAAATTCTTCAAATGTCTGTTCAAATGCATTTTCA